GAAAAATACTGATGCTCATTATCAACAAGAGTGTCAGTAGCCTGAAAAATAATGCTAGATTCAAAATGCCATTTGTTAGAGCAAAACTTTTTAGCTGTGGAGATGTTCTGTACCTGAGAAATCAGAGAAAGAAAATTAAAAATGTATTTAACAGCCAAATAGCACAAATATTATATGTGCACTACACTGAGAGTACACACACTCTTTCAAATTACTCTTTATATTGTTACTTTATAGATTGCCTTTGCTGCCCCCAGCATTTCCACAGAAAATGAACATGAAAAAAAAGTGGTAAAGTAAGCAAGAAATGAGACAGAAAGCAAGGCAAAATTCAGAGGAAACAGGAATTAATCCAAGAGGAAAGACTGCCAAGTTTTGGCAATAAGCTATGGTATAGGGGTTGAGGGGAGCGTACCTTCTTGAAACATTCATTGTACCTTCTTGAAACATTCACTGTACCTGACAGATCAGGTAAGTGCATTGCAAGCAGATAGTAGAGACTCAACCTAGAAAAGTGGATACCAATACAAATCTGAAAGAAAAAAAGGGACAGCTGGATACTTTTCATTCCTTAGTCCCCTCCCTCTACCTGAAACATCACGACTGTAATAACACAGGCACAGGCTTTGCTGCCTACAGCAAGCAACGTCTACCAGCAGCGGTGAGTCTTGAGATGGACAGATTAAAGTTTGCTTGGCTATTTCTATGGCACATTTCAAGTAAAAATAAAAACCCAAGACTTGGAGAAAGTAGAGCAAAAACTTCTGGTGTCCCTTCTGGTAATACAAGCAATTTGGATACTGAGACTGCCTGCACTGATATGTAACTCCATGACCAAACGCTGTGCCACTTGGCCTGTGAGCAGCTGCACACAGGTACACACAATGTACCACTGAAAGACAGTGACTCCAAAAATGGCTTCAGTTGTCTCCAAGTGCTCATACATTGAAGCCTAATAAGCCAGAGCCACTGCTGCTACAAGTCTTGGAAAAGCTAAAGGTGGAGAGCTGCTTTTATTTCTACTGAGGAGCTCCTTCCAGGACAAACACGAGGTAAGTCCCTGCAGCTGTGACCATGCCAGTAGCTCCTTAGTGTGCAGTTGCATAGATGATTTACCTCTAGCTGTAAAACCACACTCCTTTTTTAGTGGCATCCTCTTTGCCATATCACCTTCCAAATTCCAGTATTCTGCTTCATGCTTCCAGCTGCTCCCATTGACATTCTCATTTGAAAACTCAACAAATGAATTCCATATCCCACGATCTCAGTTGATAAGGACTGCTCCAGGAGTTCAACTTCCTACCTTGTTTTGCACATCCCCATTAAAATATTATCTAAATTAACCTTCCACAGCTTGCCTATGGAAATGTCAGACAAGGCAGTACAATTAAGATCATAAATCAACAATTATGAATTGAAGGCACAGCATTACTTGGCTAAAGGAACTGAATCCATGTAACTAATATCCAGGGAGAAGGAAACTTTGCATTCACTTTGAAAGCCTACACAGGTTCATTCTTCACAGCAGAAGATAACAGAAATGTTGGTGCCACGGGCCCCTAACTACTATGGTCTCAGAGAGACAACCAACAGAATCATAGCTATCATGATTATACTAATAATTTTAAGGGACATGGTAATGGTCATGCTGTCCACAAGAGGCAAAATCAGTGTAATAATAACGATCATGCAGAATGATGAACATATAAATCCCAACTACCCAGTAGCTGGCGCGATAAAATTGCTAATGAACCCTAGTGGGTTACCACAAGGTATCTTTACAAGGTAGAAGCTTTCATCAACAAGATATATCCCATTCTCCATGTACAAATCAGTTTTCATAGAAAGATCTGTTCAAATCATTCTTCCTTTTTTCTGACAGAGAGAGGCTTCATGTGCTATCTTTCATTTTCATCCATGTAATAAACTGCACTGCTGGTGAAGACTCCAGAACAGATCTTCTGTGGGGTGGTAGCTGCACCCAAACATGGACCTACTGAAATTCTACAGTAACACAGTAGGACAAATGCAGACCTACAAAAGCAAAGCTTTAGATCTTACTGGTCTGTAATGAAAGTCTATGGACTAAACAGATCAGCCAAATATTGAGGACTTACGGTGTCAGTTTGAGCATCCTGCTCTGCTGACCAGAGATTTACATTTACAATTGCTGCAAGGCGGAAAGCTTTGAGGCAGACTATTCATATTTCCCCTTCAACTGATACACATTCTTGTCAGGAATGGAATGTTTCACATGGTTATATTTTACAGGTTGATACAAAGATACCAGTGTTACTTCATGGCTATTTTAAGGTTTCTATAATCATTGAATGGATGCTGAAAGGCCAAAACAGTTCCTTTTCTGCACGTGAATAAATGAGAGCTTTCCTACTGATCTACTGATAGGATATTTTTGTTCTTCCATTCAGCAATTTCTTCAGTTCCAGACTGAACATCTCCATAGCCCCAAAATATCTATCATAAGGACAAGCAAAACCTTGATTTGAAGAGCTACTTCCCATTAAAAAAGGCAACACTGTCCTCACTAATACCTTATTGCAATGGAAAAAAGGCAGTGAACAGACCACAGTGCAGGAAACCTCTGACCGAGAAGAAACTCTTTAAGACCTGCTAACAGCATTTCACATAAAACACATCGGAGGTGAGAACCTTGAGCTAGTAGGAGCTCCAATGACAAGGAATAGTGAAACAGAAGGAAAAGCCCTCCTAAAAGGGCCTGGATCATCCAATGAGGAGACAGGACATTTTCACATTTGCATACCAAGGCTAAGAACACAGGCAAAACCAAATTCCTTGCATTTAACATGCACATCTATAATGCTCTAACTGCAGGCTTATCCTGTGATCCTCAACACAGGACATTCCCTATCATCAGCACTCTCCCAGGTGAACAGAACAAATATGATCCCACCATTCTCAACATCCTCACTGGTGACTTTTAAAAGAGGTTTCCAGTAACTCTGATGCCCAGTTTATGTAGCGCAGTTATTTGAAAATACACAAATGACATTTATCTTCCCAAATGGCAATTTCAACTCTTCTATCAATTTTCACACTCAGAGTGCCCACCAACCCGGCAAATACCAATTACATGCATTTTGAGGACACTACACATGACAGTCACTCAGCACACCAGAGAAGTACATCATGTTTTTGAAAGAGTCCCATGGATACTGCATAAGTAGCTCTTATAAAAACAGATTGATCTGCTCTCAAACAACATCCTAAAAACTATTAAAAATAACTCAAAAAAGTGATAATCATAGAATTGTAGAATAATCTGTTAGAACATTCTACCCAGTAGAAAGTTTTCCCCAGAGCCATCCCTACCACTCTTTAAGCTGCCTCCCAACCTTGCTAATCATCAGAAGGAAGCTTTCTGTGTGGAAAAAGAAAAAAACTTGTACAACTTGTCAAAACCTTCCTGTAATGACCTTGCTTCTATCCCAGATACCAGCACTCCCAGGTCTCATACATGAGCGTACCTGGGAAGTCATATCCAGCACACAAGCCACCCTCACATCCCATAGTTGAGATCAAGTAACTACTGAGACCAGACTGAACTCAACAGACCACTGATACAGCACAAACACACCCAACTGCTGCAAAAGCAGTTCTCACAAGGTAAATCACTTGGTCTTTGATTGCCAGTTATGAGCCTCAAGAGAAACCCACAAACTGCCCTCCAGCCACAAACCTAGGAATAAAAATTAGTTAACATTCAAGATAGCAAGACACTGCTTCTCTGCCACACCATAACCTCCCACACTCTCCACACTTCCCCCCTTCACATCCCATAGGCTGTAACCTCTCTTTGCCTATGTTTAAACATGCCAGGAAACATTACTTCTCTTAACCTGAGAAGACAAATATAACATTTATGCTTTCCTACAAATTAGCATTCCCACGTTGAACTTGACAGCTCCATTTCCTTTCAAAGATGCTCTAATAGATACTGAGGGATCTTCTCAACGTACATTCCTTTCTGAAAGCAAGCTGTCACTTTTAGGTCAGGCCTGAAGGTGGCTTGCATGCTTGAAAGCTTTTCTCCTCAAACTACACGGCTGGCCTAATCAAAGACATTACCCCTGCATATGTCCTTAGAGGTCATGGCCACAACAACACTATTACGTTTTTATACAGTTTAAAAATTAAGCCAGATTTACACTTCAAGTGCACTTCTAACCCTTATAAAATGTTTCAAATTGTGATTTTGAGTTCCTAAAGTTTTAAAGCCACATTATCCTTCCCAGATCATTAAAACTGTAGAAACTGGAGTGATAGTTCATGAGGCCACTGTAAAACTCTGGTTTTCCAGCTTAAATTTTACAAGTCATCACTATTCTCAACCAAAGGTTTGAAAAGAGATTAGAAAGTGCTCATTGCCATTAGAGAGAAAGATAAAGCTAGGAAGATGCAGAAACTCTTCATTGCTTAATATGGTAAGAACAGTTGTCCTTAAGGAAGAACAGTCTTCCTTAACAAACCAGCCAGCCCAAACCTCTGGTGGACAAATTATGACCATACTCGGACTGTAAGGAAACAAACATGGATCAAAAGGACTTGACATTCAAATGTCTTCACTCCCTTAACCTTCTATTCACCATTACAACCAACTCTAATTGCTCTTGTTAATTATTCCATGAGTTACAGCATTTACACTCTCTTGTTCACCTTTTGCCTCCCAGAGCCATGGTTTCTGTAGCAACTATGGTCCAAATCTTGAGAGATGTAAAAAGCCATCAGACACACACTCCTGTTCACTCCTCAACATCACACATGTGCAGAGAGGCATGCAGAGTCACAAACTTACTAATAAAGTTCTTGACCCATTTAAGATAGAATACATGTTTTAGAAAACACCTGAACCATTGTACAGGAGGTGAAAGCTCCACTACCCAAGTATTTTCTAGTTGAATGCCTGTCAGTGTGTCTACACTGAACTTATCCCTGTTTTGAAAAACGACCTGTACTCTTACCATCATGATTAGAATTCCCCAGGGTCCACGGCTCATCTGAATCGAAGTGAGTGTCTCCTCCTATTCCAGGTCCAGGAAAGTAAGCATGAGCTAGGAATCCACCTTCTCCATCAAATGGAGAACTGTCTCCATGGAAACCAGAAGCAAAAAATATCATAATATCTGCCTCCTTTCTGTCATTTTTAATTTCATGGTAAGGGACCTCTTCAAAGGTAAGTGGTGTCACTCTCTGCCACACATCAAATGCCTGACGAATGGCTCTCCTTGTATCGATCTCTCCAACTTTGGGGGTATAGTTGTGTACACTGTGTGAATGAGAAAGAAGGGCTATTTAAATTTGCAGAATACATTACAGGCTTAATATAATTCCAACAAATAGCCACATCTACACATTTCCAAAGGGTCTTTATTTTTACAGACACTGCTTTGTGCACAAAAAGTTTTGCTGTTACAAATAAGTTTTGTTACCAACAGAACAACAATTCTGATCTGAAGTCTACATTTATTAGTAAGAATCTTCTCAATACCTGGGTTGATCTTGCATTGCCTCCTAAAAACCTAACAAACTTTCAAATCCTGGTGCAGACAGCCAAGTAACCTAGTTTAAAAATGTAAATTACTTCAAATTTGTCTGAAATAATCATGCTAAAATGGAACCCAGTGTATGAATGAGCTTTAAGGTCTCTTCCAACCCAAACCATTCTGTGATTCTATGAATATGAAATATCTGCCATGGAAACAACTTTCAGTCTTTAATGAAACTGTCTCAACTTACTATAATGATTGACAGATGAAGACAGCGTAATACATTCAGTGGTGAAACAGAACATCTATCACTTGACTGGCACACTACAAATACTGAGAGTGGGAAGTTAAACAACTAGCAGTTTGACAATGGCAGAAGTGAAGCCATCTGCCAACCTGCTTCCTGAGGTAATGCGTATGCTGAAGATATGCTTTATTTATATGATTATACACCAGTTTTCCCTAGAATAGGTTCTAACCTAGAATAGGTTAGAAGCAGGATCTAACTCTCAGATCTCCACATACACAAGGAGCACCCTTACAATTTAAGGGAATGATTATTGGAAGAAGCTTTGAACAAGTCCCTCCTCCAAGTCTCTTGAGTCCCCAACTGTTACTTGAAGAATTCTCTTCCTCCTTGCTCATAGCTCTTGGCAGAAGCAATAGAGTGCCCTGGGCCCTGATTCTCTTTCCCTTCACACCACCATATCTCTTCCTACACATTCTGGCACCTTTCCCATGCTGGTCACTCATATTTCTCCCTCTTCACCACATACTTCCTTTCTGTCTTAGCCCTGCTCACCCGTATCTTCTCCTTACTGTCTACACTCCTCAGTTTTACTCTTCTGCAAACTCCTTTCCCTCCTCCAAAAACAAAATAAAAGGCTACACTTTCAACTGGGGGAGGGGGGTGTGTAATTTTATTTAAGTTATATTCTTACTGTCAGAAACTTCCATTGGTATCATTCAGCAATTGCCTTTCAAATGCTAAAGGTCTAAATGACAAACAAAACACATCTCTGGGAAACAACCCTCACTACATAACACTCACTTGATACCTGTAGCCCACTTCAGCATACTGCCTCAGCAGACCTAAGTCTAGACAAAAGCAAGAGTTGTACCACAGGAGCAAAAGTAAAACCTCTGCAAAAATACATATTCAGGAATAAGTCGCAAATTATTAGAGGGAGAAAGTATCACACCTTTAGACAATGATGTTCCTTCTGCATTAATGGGGTGTTGAAGACTCATAAGCTATGAGCTAGATCCTTTGATTGCTAAGGGAACAGAACGGTGCTTACTAGGACTTTCCTGCCAAAATTACACAGTGGGTGACTGGGATTTAGGCATCTTTACTGATCAATTATTTTCTAATTGAGAACAGACTCTGCAGTTACCCCAGCGCTGTGAAAGTGTTCCCCTCCACCATGTTGTCAGAATGAAAGCCTCAACTAGGTGTTACAGGGAAACTCCAGGATTTAAAAGTACGCACCAAATTTGCATAGCAAAGTAGTACAGAACATTTTTTCCCCCAAACAAAAAGAGTCAGGGAGTGGACTATACCTGTAGGTTATATGCTTCTGCCTCCACTTTTGTCCAGTTAGCGCATACCGCTTTTTCCTCCGGCTACGGCGGAGGTGGGGATGGTCTGGAACTCCACATCGAGGCTTTTTCATCCACCTGCAAGGGAAAAGAAGGAAAGAAAAAGCAAGTTAACAAGGAGTCTGGATGAGAGACTCAAAAGAATTCAGGGGTGACTGGAAGACCTCTGAGGGATGGCCAATGCAGACACCAGAAGGGCTCAGTCTTCCCTCTCTCGGGTTTACCCTCTCTGCACAGAGCTGTACACCCCACCTCTACTGGCAATCCACACACCTCAGCATACCAAAAGGAATTAATTTTTCCTTTTGGAAACCAGATCAGGAAACCACATACCAGATCAGGTGGCTTTTATGCTTAACAAGAGCTTAATGATGATAATGCCACAAAAGAGATGCAGATTAAAACTGCATGTGTGTGTGCACTGGGATCAAACTCACCTATCACCTCCTCTATCCTCTATTCATTAAAGTGCTCCTGCCACAGCAAGAAACCCTTCAATTCATAACTTTCTAGATAAGACTGAACAACCGCTAACACAACCCTCCCAGACAAGACTAAGGCTTTCACCTGTAACAACCAGAACAGATTGACCACAGCACACATTCTGTTAGATCTTTCCACACAACCCTTAACTCTTCTGATGTCACTCATGATGTAGGAAACTCTTGCCTCTATGGCCAGGTAGACTGGAAGAGCAAAGAATGCTGTCCCTTGCACAGGGATCCATGCACTATTATCAGACATGTCAGGTCTTCTCTCCTACCTCCTTTACCTCCAGCCTTAACAGACCTTTTACTTATTTCTTGCACCAGCTGGAGGGAGTCAAACACTGGCACAGGTTGTCCAGAGAACTGGTAGAACCTCCATCCTTGGAGGTATTCCAAACCCTATTAGACGTGGTCCTTGGCAACTTGCTCTAGCTGTCTCTGTTTGAGCAGGGGATTGAAGCAGATGGTCTCAAGAGGTCCCTTCCAACCTGAACGGTTTTCTGACAAGGAGAAACAGGCTGTACCCCAGAATACTATCCCACTTGCTGGTGTGGGCACACTCTAGAGAAGGCAGAAGTGGCTTATAGAGGAACCAATCTGCCCACCACTGCATGTGGCAGCAGGGGAAAAAGGAAACAGGGACAGGAACAGAGGAACTACAGTCTCCAAGGTTCCAGCACAGCAACCTTCTGTCCCAGCCACATTCTTTAGGATTCTGCAATGCAGCCCAGCACAGGACACCAGAGTCCAGGAATAACACAAGCAGTCTCTGACCACAGCTCTCTGGCACTGCCCTTAGCCTTCTGTGTGGCTGCTGCTGAGGACATTGCCACTGCCATTCCTCAGGCATTTTATGCATTTGATCCACTCACTCAGATGGCAAAGACAAGTGTCCACTGTGACACAACACCTTAAGAACACACTGCAGGCATGGGATGCAAAAATGTGCTGCTGCCAGGTCACGCAAGAAGAGCACTGTAGCCCATCCTGGCAGATTTCTCACACAGGACACCAAATTCTCACCACTCTCCTCAGCAGGACCTCCCGCACACCCCTGGCCACTCAGGGACCAACTTTTGGCCCTCAAATGCAGACACTCCTCCATCAACCACAGCACTCCAACAGCACGCAGTCCATGTGTGCTCACATGTCTGTGCCTAAACAATGTACATCTCTATCAAAATTAACAGCCTCACACCTTCAGGAAGGGGATGTCTTCCTTTCACCAGTAAAGGCTTTACAAAACTTCTTTCTGGGACACCTTTTAAATAAAAACCAAAAAGACATTTTGCTTTGTACAGCCTCACAAGAACATGCTTTCACAGCACACATACCCGCTCCCAGTTCAGCTGACCTTTCCTTGGTACACTTCCTATATGTAAAAACTACAGGCACTTACAAATCTCAGTGCAGTCATCTTCTCCCCACCAAGAGCAGAGCAAATGAGAGCTATTATACATATTGTACTGTACCTGACAAGAGCCCAAGCTGTGTATGTGAAGCTGGCATGGATCTTCCCCACTTACAGGAGCTTACATTTATGAGTACAGTATGTCTTTCAGAAATCTAAGCAACCTGCAGAAATCAGATCTGTCTTGCCCACACAACTGCTGCCACCTTCAAAGAAAAGTGGTACATCTAAGGTTTGCTTTTAGAAAAGCCATATTAATTCAACTTCACTACACTGTTTTTTCCAAGTGTCCTTTATTTGTGTTCTTTTGCATTGCTTCTACCACTTTGCTAGAGAGAGATGTCAGGCTTACTGTAGCTTGTAACCTCCTAGGTATTTCCTGTCAAGCTGAGAATGTTTCTCTGGATCAGTTCCCTGATTCAACTTACTTCCCAGACACACGGGCCCATGTCTAATCATGGGCCAGGGTACAAGTCCAGCCATCTCTTCTTTTCTCAGTAGGGCAGATCTATGGCAAAATAATCACAAAGCTGTAGCTTGCTGCCACTGATCTCCTTTAGCTGAGGTTTTTGAGAGCCATTCTCTATTGAGCAGTTTGGATAACCCTTTCTGTGTTCCAGGGCATTTATCAAAACACATCACATCAGAAACAACACCACAATTACTTGAAGCAGGATTCAGACTTCAACTTGTGGTTACTCTCTGTCCTGCATTCTGAGGCGAGGGACCCACACAACAGGCTCAAGACAAGGCACATTACACTTCCAACACAAGACTATTTCTTGATTCCCTCCAGGGCCATGAGATTGATTAAAATGAACACAACAGTAACCACTTCTGTTAGGTGCCAATGTGCCTTCTTTCCCAGCACACTCACAGGACTATATCGTTGCCTAGCTGCTGAGCAAAATTACAACTCAACCTAAGAGTTGCAGGCAGACACAAAGTTTCTTGAGGCACTGTCAGTTGCAGGGTATGAGGAGGGCACGTTACACACTGTCATCCACTCTCCTTACAGAAAACTATATAACTCAACCTCCTACCTCAAGGCAGCCTTGCTGCCAAACGGACCTCCACCCAACCTTCCTTTTGGGTACCAGTAAAGAACACCAATGGTGATGGTCCTTCCCATTTCCCACTCCTATTGGCAGCACCTGCATGGTAACTTTCATACACTTGGTTACCCATCTTGGAGGAAAGAACAAGCTTGGGGTTTGGAGGCATGTGGGGAAGGGATGAAGAGCTTTAGTTTAGTAAACAGAGCATGCAGAACCCACTCCCTAACAAATAAACCACAGAAAATAATAACTTCACACTCTGATTCTAAAGTGACTTTCAAGGGGTAGCACTTATGGCACTGACAGAAGTGACAAAAATTTGGGATTGCAATTACCAAAACTTGTAACAGAGACTGAAATAAGAGTTTAGCAAATGTCTGAGTAATTCAGAGCTCTCAGAGCCAGCCTGGAAAGCACACTTGCATCTGGCTGCACCTGAGGTTTCAAGCCTTTGGAGACTTGAGTTTCAGAAGAGGGGAACCATCTTCCCCAATCAGCCTTTGGGTGTTCATGCATCAATCAACCCCTGCCCACGTACAAATTCACTAAAACATGGGCAACACCTTCCTTTCCTCCAGAAAAATACTTCCGCTTACTAAAGCAGGGGTTCCCACATGCAGTTTGCTCCCTTCCCCTGTCACTCACAGGGTAGCAGAAGCAGCTCCCTAACTTTCCAAACTAGCACCCCAGTATCATAGCCCCTTCTTCCCCCATCCCCTTCCAACTCATAAGCATCCTGACTGCTAGCTTCTACACACCAACTGCGGATATACAACCTTGCTTTCTGGCTCTGCTTCAGCATTCACTTACAAACCATGTTACTGATGGCAGAGATATCAGATGGAAAATCCCCACCTTTAAAACGCATCTCATTTTCAACTCATTTGAACAGCAAAACAACAGGATTTTCTCTATCCCTCAAGGGAGAAAAAGGAGCTTTTCTTGTGATCTAAAAGAGAGAACATTACATTCACTGGAGAGGCACTCCCAGTCCAGGATGATCCTTTTCTGCCTAATTTGCTCATTTATCCTGTTTCTTCCTCTTGTAGTCTGGAAGGCATAAAATCAAACCCCTTTGTTCTTCACACTATTCAGTTACTTTGTGCCCCCTTCTTTTTTTTTTACCATGTCCCTTTTGCCATCAGAGTGCCACAATGGGAGAGATTAAGAAGTAGAGAGGGCACACTCCAAAAAGGGTTTGCTAATGCAGTAAGAAAATGGCAAAAGAAAAACTCTCAGGCAGGGCTAAGCATGTTCTATTATTTGTATATTCTTTTTTTTTGCTCACTATGAGATGCTTCTTTCCCCCAGAAAACTTTAGTAAGACCATATCTGCATCCTCCTTTAGTCAACAGATGCTCCCCTAGTCCAGACCAACAGCCAACATATTCAATCAGTACAGAACACCCAGGCAATCAGATGACAAGAAGCCAGTGCAGTAGCAGCAACAAACACTGCTCCATGCCCGAACACCACATGCACACCACACTTCACAATTATACATCAAAGAGAATACTAAAGGCAACTGCTTTCAAAGAACAAAGTCCCTCCAGCCCTGGTGATTTAGACCAATGCTTCCATCCACAACTACATAGCTTCCACAACTACAACCATCCACAGCTACATAGTCTTGACTATCGTCACCAGACTACAACAACTCACTTCAGCTCAGACTACAGATCGCCACAAATAGCATCTATGTAGATCCACAACTCCAGTTATTTAAGAAATATATTAAAAGCCATTTCTGGAGCCAGATTTGCACCTAAATCTGGACAGAGATGAAAATGAATTAAATACTTGGTGTTCTTTGCTTTCAGAAGCTCATAGATTCATGCTTTGCCTATGCATCAGCAATGGACATCTATGTACAAAAGAACAACATTTAACAAGAACTTCCCCTCCCACTCCCAAACAGTAGCATTGGCAAAGAGAAGAGGTGTTTTCATTAGGGACACCTTTTCAAAATCAACATTTCTCTTGCTGAGCCAGTCAAATCTATCTCTTTTGAGGACTTCTCACAGCTGGAATAATTACCCAGGGAATACGACAATGTGTTAAGAAAGGGAAAGACAAAATTATCCTATGTTAATCTTACTCAATAGTTGTCTGGTCCAAAACTCCTGTTACTGGGATCCCATAAAACTGTTGCATAGTGGCAACTGCAGACTGCACAGCTTTGCCCGACTGCAAGGCTGACATTTGGCTGTCAGATGGAAGTAAGTAGCCGTAAGTTTTTAACCAGCCCTGAAAAAGAAAGAAACAGATGGTAAGATGCCACGGAAAGTTTTCAACTTAACAGATCAGAACATCTCCTCAAATGAAAAAGTGATGAACTAGCCCAAAAAATTCAACTACCTCTCTTTTTTTATGGCGAGGTTTGGTAATAACATCTGATCCCCAGGAAGGGCCGAAGACCCAGCTTAACATCAGCTGTCCTGGCAGACAGTGCAGACCTGCCAGTTAAAATGGCATCATCCCTCCTGAGTAACTGGGGCAGACTTAGGTCTTTGGGGCAACAGAAATGCCCAAGATGCTCGGTCCTTGTTCCAAAGGCTTCTTATGCACCCTGCCACCTTGCATCACAAGATGGCAAGGTGACATCTCACTTCCCACTGCAGCATGCTCCCACTAACACTCTGCCCACCACCTACTGCTGCCTCTGGACCATCGCTCCAAGCAAACAGCTTAACAGGCCTGGGCGATCCCCACAAACATAGCTTCAGCTTTACCCTTGTACGGAGAACAGGAGAATTACTTACATAAAAACCCCACACACCACCACCACCAGAAAACAACCCCAAAACAAACAACCCACGCGCAGAAAGCTTGCAGGGACTCTGTTTGGATGGACTTTTCCTCTTGTAACAGCAGACAGCCAGCAAACTGTCAGAATAGGAAAACAGCCAACTCTTCTCAAGGAGCTTTGTCCCTTTTCCCTGCCTCCTCCCCAAAACCCAGCCTTAGATAAAACCACGTCAAACTTGTCAAAACGCATTTTCAAAGACACACATGAATTCAGGATTTTTTTCCCCTCTCCTCTTCCCTCCCTCTCACTTTGATATTACAAGAAAGAGGAACATCACCTTTAAGTGGAAGTGTAATAAAATCTGAACGAAGGCTTGCTTTCACAAACCTTTCACCATAACTTTGCTCACATACACCCCAGTGTTGTGCTTCTTTCTTCTGGTCAGGGCTCCACCCCTCCAAGTCAATTCTTAGATGAGGATTACTATGAGATGGACCATGAGGACAATCCATCTGACCCACAGGACACAGCCCTCAACACACAAGCACTGATGGATCACATTGGCAGCCTGAATACTTGGAGCAAAGGAGAGAGAAGAGACATCTTCTCTTAACCTAACATAGCAGCGGGAAAGCAGCTCAAGTCAGGAGGAGCACAAGAGGGAGAACAATCCCCATTTCACTGTGGCAACAAGAAGATAACAGAATCCATTGGGAACAGAGAAATGCCCTGTTTCCAAAGCAGAGAATGAAGGTGTATGACAGCATCTGGGCTGCATATGTTAAAGTTCACCAACTAAATAGCCATACAGAGTATTCAACACAGGTGAAGCCAAGCTACAAAACTGCTTGGAGACTGGACACGTGCTACCACTGCCCTGGCATCTCGCGTTGGCCTTTGACAAACAGTATGCTGGAACTCTCGGACCTTTGGTCTGACCAAAATACACTGTCCTTGAGCAGCAAGGGCAGAGCACGCCACCCAAAACGCTACCCAAACTAAACAACCAGACCGGCTCTGCGTGGGGCTACCCTCGCGTATCCCCTTTTCCTCCCCGCCAGACTCGGACGGGGTAGCGGGCAGCGGAAAAGGGCCCCGCGATGCCCTCACTGCCACGAAGCTCCTTCCCCCTGGAGGCGATGCCCAAGAGCACCCGGAGGGGCCCGGCTCCCTTCGCCTGCCCGCCCCATCCTGACCAGGAGCAGGCAGAAGAACTGCCGGCTCCTGCGGCCGCACAACGCAGTCCGGCAACTCCGGAGGGCCCGCAGGAGATGCCCGAAGGCTTCCGGCGGGCTGCACCAGGCGCGGCGAAGGGGCTGGAGCCGGGCGCGGAGACCCGGGGAGCCACTGCCCGCCCAGCTTTGCAGCCCGGCCCCGGGCCACCACAGCGCACAGCCCGGCTCTCGGCTTCCACCCAGCCCGGTCCCAGCTGCGGCACCACCGGCATCCCTCCCCACCGAGCCGCGCAGCGCCTCTCTCTCTCAGCCCCCGCCGGACCCCGGCCCCGACCCCGCTTCCAGCCCTACCCGTCCGGTGCTGGTGTCGGCGGCGGCGCGGAGCAGCATGCAGAGCAGCGGCAGCAGGGAGCCCGCCGCAGCCAGGCCCCGGCGCCGCCTCGGCGCCATGGCAGCGCGGCGGGGCTCCGGCCAACGCTCCGGCCCAGCGGCGCGGGCGGCGGCTGCGCGGGGCAGGCGGAAGCGGAAGGCAAGAGCCACTGAAACGCCGCTTCCTCCGCCGGGCCGGGGCAGGGCAGGGATGCTCTGCTGGGGAGCTTCGCCCGGCGGCGGGGCCGGGGGTGCCCGCGCTTCCCCTCGAGAAGGGAGCGGAGCCGCGCGCCAGCGGCCCCAGCGCTCCGTCCCTCAGGGAGGGCTCGCGGCAGCACCAGGGTAGAGCCGGAGGGACGAGGCGTTTCTCCGTGCGCCTCTTCCCTCACGACGAGGCTGTTCCCTGCTCCCTGGCAGGGCGGGCTCTGGCCGCGGCCTGGGGCTCTCCAGAGGTGTGGAAGCGCAGGAGGGCGGCTGCGTGCAGCTCACACCGAGCCTGCGGGGAAGGGGAGGAGCGGGGCTGGCAGTCTGCTGGACAGGGCTCCTGCCCTGCAGCCGTGCCTGTCTGGAAGGAGCTAGCGTGCTCCTGAGACGTGAACCCGGGGGTTTCTGTGCTGCCTCAGAGACCCGGGGACTTCGTCACGCTCCGTTTCTCTCAGTTTCCCTCGGGACCACGAATGGCACCTCGTGGTGGCACTGAAGTCTGGGGGTAGCAGAAGCCCAGCCCAGCCTCATTTTGTTCAGAGGGTGTGAGGGAGCATCCACAGCCTGCATTGCCACACGTGCTTAATAAACTGTTTTATCAGGACTTTGGGGGGGGGGGGGGGGAGATGCTGTGCCACCAAGCACATTTCTTGCGCTGTCATTAACTTGGTCATGCTGAGACCAGGAGTTTGAATTCCCGTCTGCGTGGAAGGGAATCCTGGAGCTTGGCGCCACAGCCAGCCTGGCACACGGGCGGTTTGGCTGCACATATGAGCTGTGCAGCACGTGTCAGTGCACCGGCGATGTGCTCAGACCTGGAGGAGTTCCTGTGCTGGAATCCCGGGCCAGAAGGTGCTGGTCCTCCCCCACAGAAACACTGGGGATGTTGGGGTTTCGAGGTTCAGCCAGTTCTTCATCCAGTGCAGCGCGCACCTGCTCGTGTCACAGTCAGACATGAAGGATCGCCAGCAGGATGCTCTGAGGAACAGTATCAAAAGCCTTACTAAAATCCAGAAAAACATTCTCCCCCATCCTCAGGGATAACGCAAAGCCTCGGAGTTGTTGTTGGAACAGCAACATCTAATTGCAACTTACTCAAGTCAGCCAGATGTGGTAGCTCAGGAGCATGTTTCCTGCATCTGCGTGACTGCTGATGCAGCAGTCCTACTTGAAAGGAGTGAAAAAAACAAGTGCTTGGACATCCTGTGATGGTACAATTTATACAGGGAATGTCACCACAGCATAGCTCATCGCCATGAGCTGATTCTCCTAATGATGGCAAACATCATTACACCCTTAAGCAGTGTAATACACTGAACCCTTTTGTTATTCTACTCCCTTATCTAGGTGTTCCTGCTCCGGCAGGGGAATTGGACTAGATGATCTTTTGAGGTCCCTTCCAATCTCTAGCATACTGTGATACTGGGGCAAGAAACTCCGTATCATGATTGTGTAGTAACCTGTGAAGCTGAAAAGGCTTGAGGAGATTTAACAGATGTGCCATTTCTAGATTCCAAGCTGGAACTATATGTAGATGGGTCTTTGTATTATCTGAACAGCAATTTTTATGGGTTATTCAATAACTACAGTGAATGGAGTAGTGGAGGCTCCACACTCAGGCTGAAATGGAGTGCCCAAGCAGTGGAATTAATTGCATTGACAAAGGCCTGTCAGCTGGCCAAAGAAATGGTTGATTCTCGATATGCATTTGAAGTATGCCATGCTACTGGGCAGTAATGAAAGCTGTGTGGGTTTATACTTCTAGTGAAACATGAAATGCTTCTCAAAATACTGAACTGTTAAAAGCCTTACAATTCCAGAGAAACTTGCTATCATTCATCAGCTCATACCAGCAGGAGGACAAAAGAAGAGATAAGGGATAGTCTCACAGATACTGCCACTAAAGCTGCAGCACCACAGCTGTATTAACCACAGACACCTACCAGTGCAATCTAGTGTTGCCTGCTCCAGAAAACATACGTTTGACTCTTCCTGCTGAAGAAATTGACTCTACGAAGAGGTATGAAGTAACCAAAGTTTTGCAGGGAGTATGGAAATCAGGTATTGAAAACTTTCCTATTTTACCCAATTTTCACAGCAAAAATGCATCACCATGTAGTGCATTTTGGGACTGCTGCACTACCCAGACAGTGCTACAGACTGGTTCACCAGGAATTTATGCTGCAGCCAAATAAGTACCTGTGTCCTGCAGCCACTATTTAGCCTTCATGAATATTTAATAAAGACCTCAGCAAACAAGAAAGCTGTTTCCCTGTGAAACACGCATTTTATTAGGAAATAAAGATGTGGCTGGGTGTATTTTACAGGTTCAGAAATTATTAAAATCCAGTCAGGACCAGGCACAGCTGAGGTACTGAAACCAGTACCTCTAGAAGGGGCTCTGCACCCCTCCAATCCAGGGAATGAGTGTCCAGGGGAAAGTACACAAAACAAAATATAACTTCTTTCCTTGGGAGGAGGCACCATTTCTGTTATTGCTAACCTTTCTCAGCAGTGAATATGAAGGAAAAATCAACTTGACTCCATCACTCCCACCTAAAAGCTGCAGTCAGACTAGAAGTGGGAACCAGGAAACCTTCCTGCCACCAAGGGAACATCCACCACCGCAGAGACTGACTCACCCGCAGCTGGGAACTTACACAGAACCAGTGGGTTGGCTGTGAAACCACTGATCTTGCATAAGGATTCAACAACAGCAGTGTGGAAAGTACTCTCATACTTATGAGTTGCCCATGGACTGTAAGGGCTGGGAATTGAAAATGCCAATGTGTCTTTAAAAATAAGAGAACTGTGGAAATGGACAATTCAGATCTTTGGGCATAGCAGTTGACGTCATCTACCTGGACTTGTGCAAAGCATTTGACAGTGTCCCAGTGACATCCTTGTCTCTAAACTGGAGGGATGTAAATCTGACGGATGGACCATTGGTGGATAAAGAACTGGCTGGGTGGCTGCATACAAAGAGTTGTGGTCAACAGCTCGATATCCAGTTAAAGACCAATAACGAGTGGCATCCCTCAGGGATCGGTGTTGGGACCAATCTTGTTCAACATCTTCGTCGCTGACATGGACAGTGGGATTGAGTGCGCCCTCAGCAAGTTTGCCCATGACACCGAGCTGTGTGGTTTGGTTGATATGCTGGAGGGAAGGAATGCCATCCAGAGGGACCTCGACACACTTGTGAGGTGGGCTGATGCCAACCTCATGAGGTTTAACCGTAAGAAGTGCAAGGTCCTACACTTGGATCGGAGCAATCCCAGGCACAGCTACAGGTTGGGCAGAGAAGAGATTCAGAGCAGCCCTGTGGAGAAGGACTTGGGGGTGTTGGTCAATAACAAATTGAACATAAGCCAGCAGTGTGCACTCCCAGCCCAGAAAGCAACCGTATCCTGGGCTGCATCAAAAGGAGCGTGACCAGCAGGTCGAAGGAGGTGATCCTACCCCTCTACTCCACTCTCATGAGAGCTCACCTGGAGCATTGTGTGCAGTTCTGGTGTCCTCAACATAAAAAGGACATGGAACTGTTGTTGGAACAAGCCCAGAGGAGGGCACAAGGATAATGAGGGGACTGGAGCACCTCTCATATGAAGACAGGCTGAGAAAGTTGGGGCTGTTCAGCCTGGAGAGGAGAAGGCTGCGTGGAGACCTCATAGCAGCCTTCCAGTATCTGAAGGGGGCCTACAAGGATGCTGGGGAGGGACTCTTCATTAGGGACTGTAGTGACAGGACAAGGGGTAACAGGTTCAAACTTAAACAGGGGAAATTTAGATTGGATATAAGGAAGAAATTCTTTACTGTAAGGGTGGGAGGCACTAGAATGGGTTGCCCAAGAAGTGATAAATGCTTCATCCTTGGCAGTGTTCAAGACCAGGTTGGACGGAGTCTTGGGTGACAATGGTCTAGTGTGTGGTGGCCCTGCCCATGGCAGGGGGTTGTAACTGGATGATCTTAAAAGGTCCTTTGCAACCCTAATTATTTTATGATTCTATGATTCACACTGTGTGAAAACCAGGCTTCCTAGAGCTGGGCACATCCCTCCACTAGCCCTACGGCAAAGCTTGCAAACCAAGACAAAAATGCTGTCTCCTTCTCACCTCCCTAGTTCAGATTCCCTGTAAAGTGTGGATGAAGGCTTTGGAAGGGAGGGAATGAGTCTGATAGTGCAGAGAAAATGTCTAGACACAGTGTGGCCCCACTTGAATGAAGGGAGGCACCAGCAAACACTTAGGAGGAAACTACTGAAAGCACAAGAGTGTCAGGTCTGTGTGTTGTCTGGTGGAGCTGCCCAGGGTCTCTACACATATTCTGCATGGTGCTGCTGAACTCTGGAGATGGTGTTCTGGATGCTTTGTGGTCACAAGACAGCAGCAGTGGTTGTGTTTGGCCCTTGTTCTAACACCGGCAACTCTGCTCCATTGCTTTCAGGCTCTGCTCTACTATAGGGAACAGTCCTTTCTTGCTGTGCCTTGGGAAATAGCTCTGGGATGGCTGCTTCTTAGAGAATTATTTCCTGGGACTATCCAGGATTTCTGCATATTTGCAGCCAGGGTCTTGTTCAACCTGAGAAGCTCCAGAGGATTCCCAAGTTGCAGCACGCATCATCTGTGTCTCCAGTGAGCTTTTCAAGAGGCGCCTGTAACAGTGTCCTGTTAGAAGCTGCTGTTCCCCCTTCTCCCAATATTTCTTCGATGCACTTGCCCAGATCTTGGCATCAATTGAATCCTGTAGTTCAGTTTTGAACTGCTCACCTCTCCCCTCCATCCCTGTGCACTCGGTGCATCTGCCCTTCAGGCACCAGCAGTGAAGCAGTGCTCCATAGCTCCTTCCAAGAGCTGTCCACGGGCTGTGACCCCATACTGACTCTGCTCACTCCAAAAGCAGTGTGTGCAGTCACTGC